GCGTCCTCTGCCCCGATTATTTAAGGGTTCGATCGCATGTGTTGCCAAACCAGCAAATACGCATTTATCTCGACCGCAACCGTACCAGCGACCTGCCAAAATGTCCGAACGCGTGAAAGCTTTGGCACCCTTCGTAATAACGCTTCAACAGCTGAAGGCGAAACAGCGAAAGGTTTTGATGAGCTACCTGACCAAGACCCAGATGAAGGCACTGGAAGAGGTCGCTGTCAACATTGTAAAGAATACTGTAAATCTGTCTCCAACCCATGCGGAGAAATGTAAACGCCACCGAAAAGCATTAAAGCTGATCGCTTTGAGGCGGTATCCCTATAAGAAAAACGGAGAATATTTCAACAAGGAGGATTTATCGGAGCCATCTTACCTGTCATTGCTGGAGTTTTAACGTCCTCATTGGTAATGGATGAATTCTACATAGTACCACGGCGTGTAATGGAGAACCGGATGCAGAACCAGCTCCAGATCAACAAGGAGCCACCCGAGGCCCACAGCGTCGTAACGTTGGATGCGCTAGTGGCCGAAACTCTGCAACGAACCGATATAAGTGAATATGAAAAGCTAGTCAGCTAAGCAGTATTCTTGAGCGGTTCCTCGCTCTGAAACAAAAGCCATACCCGATGAAAATCCCTTGGATTTATCGGCAGACGTTGCTGCACAACCGCCACCGATAGCTTCCGAAAACAACCAATCGTCTCTACCTCCCGAGCGCTACCACCGCCGACACTATCGTCGCTACCAAGACATCCAGTCTCTCGCAAGCGTAAAGTCCTCGAAGAAACGAATGAGTCAACGAAGCCTTCTAAGCAGCCTCGACAACCATTATTTCCGTCGGATCTGCCTACGAAAGGAGAAAAGCGGAACTTGGAAAGCGACTTGGAAGACAGCAGTAGACCGAAGGCAGCACGCATTGCACTGTTTCCACCATCACTACCAAAAAAAGGACGGAAGCGGCGTATACAAGACGAAAGCGCGGAAGTGCGACCAACCAAAAGCAGCGCGCATAGCGCTGTTTGCCCTACAGCATTAAAGAAGGGTCGGAAAAGACAGCCGGAAGACGTTGAGAGCCCAACATATCCGCATAAGCGACCGCGGCGACCTCTGTTTCCGGTCAACCTACCTGTACGTGGTAAGAAGAGAAAAGCGGACCAGATCGAAGGCAGCGTAAGGAAGCTGCGCTCCCGTACTATCCAAAAGGAACGGGTTCGCCCAGAATCCAGTGGATCACTCTAACGTAATGGCGAGCTTGCTGCCTAGTGTGTTGCGTTTATGCCGAATATTTAAGATCAATTGCGTGTCCACCTGTTGTAACAAAGCCGATGGAGAAACTGATGAAACGATACCTCAATCCACGCGACCCCGGCGGTCTTGGAGGCGTAGAAAGATTTCGAAGAAGTCTCAAGACCAGAGCCAACAGACGGAAAGCACAGGAGATTCTGCAAGAGATCGATGCGTATACTGTAACCAAAGAAAATCGCCGGCGGTTTGCGCGCAATCGGATCGTAGTGACCAACCTTCGCCAGCAGTACCAAGCGGATCTGGCTGATTTATCAAAATATTCCAAAGAAAATGATGGATACAAATACTTGCTTTTTGTGATTGATTGCTTTTCCAAAAAGCTAAGCATCCAACCGATGAAAACCAAAACAGCCAAAGAAACAAAAAATGCTTTGTCGCAGGCCTTCGAAGAACTCGGCGAACCGGAGAAACTACAGTATGATAAAGGAACCGAAGTTGTTAACGCCACCGTCAAAACCTTTCTGAAAGAAAAAAGATTCATTTCTTTACATCGGAAAACGAAGACATCAAATGCGCCATGGCCGAACGCGTCATTCGCACCATCAAAACACGGATGTTTCGCTTGTTTCGAGCGCGTGTCAACGCGGTACATTGACAAGCTGGAAGACTTCGTGTACTCGTACAACCACTCCAAACATCGTGCCCATGGACTGCGACCAATCGACGTCACACAAAACAATTCGTTGGCGGTATTCAACAAGCTGTATCCCACCAGTAAAACCGGCGACCTCGGTTCAAGATCGGTGATGCAGTTCGCATTGCCGTGCACAAAACCAAAGTGGAAAAAAGCTATACGTATCGATTTAAGGAGGAAGTATTCTACATTAATAAAGTCATCTCGCATACCGTACCGGTATACCGACTGCAGGACTACCAAGACCAACCTATCGAAGGGACGTTCTATGAACACGAACTTTCCAAAGTATCGCACCCGGAACAGAAGGAACATACCATCGACCGCGTTATTAAACGCCGTGGACCAAAGATACTAGTACGTTGGTTAGGTTACGGACCTGAACACGATTCCTGGATCAAGGCAACATGTATGAAGGAGCACCGTTCTACGTGACGCTGCCGAGCGATGTCGCTACGGATCCCAGCAACACTCCGTCCAATTGGACGACTAAACTGAAACATCCCATTACCTTGAAAGGGAAATGGAAATGGCCCTGGTTGAACTACAGTACCTCAACTCTTTTTTTACTCTACCTGTGGAGCAGAAGATTGAGGTGCACATCGTTCGAGAATTCAGATTAAAGAAGGATGAAGCAAATTTTCTGGAGGCCGCGGACCAAGTTGTCCATACCGACGAGATCACTATTCCTCCTGGAAATTACAAGGATGCTGAATTGTTATTGAAGACTATTAACTCATTGGTACCCAAAGTTGGATCATATATGGTGGATGATACAGTACACGCTGACAAGAGCGCTTTAACTGCGGACAGAGCTTTCACCGTTCAACTGCTGACGCCCACCAATCATCGGGTCCGACTAAATATTGGCAACGATCGGGTTTCCATCGTCTTTCCCCCGTCGTCGATAGTCCTGCAAAAGATGCTGGGATTTGAACATAGTGTATTAAAACCGGATGTGCCGATGGAGAGTAACAGCAATGGAATGGTCGGTCCATTTCCTTTGAAACGAAGAACGTCAGTATCCAGTACCTGTCATTTCTGGCCAAGCCTCCTAATCCCAAACTGACCAGCTTTATTTCGGAGCGACCGGTCAATACTCTATTGGGAAATCAAAGCCTGTTTGTCTACAGTGATGTGGCCGATTACAGCTTGATTGGCGATACCGCAGCGCAGTTTTTACGTTCCGTACCTATTAGAGGAGAAGTCAATCAGATTGTGGAGGCCAGATTCGACATTCCCCACTACGTCCCTGTGTTACGACAACATTTCGAAACCATAAAGCTGACCATTGCCAATGATCTGGGAGACGACGCCAAGTTCCAAACTGGAAAATCCCTTGTAAAGCTACATTTCCGACCACAACGACTCTACTAGAATGCCTCTCGTGGCGTACGTGCCGGATCCCCGGCGATACGAAAACGTCTTTGTCAGTCAGACGGGTGGCAGCGCATTGATCCGGTATCGAGGAACCCTGCAAAACGGATCGGGTTTCCCGCAGATTTTGAAGAACCTTTTTGCAAAGCTCTCAGCCTTTGCTCAACCCATACTACGGAAAGCAGCACCGCATGCCAAAGCCGCTCTTGAAGCGGCTACCCTCACCTGCAAGAAGCGGCGACCGGGGCTATTAAAGAGGTAGCCTCGCGTGCGGGAACAGCCATTGGAAAACGATTCGCTTCCCAAGAAGGTGAAGGTGTCCGGAAAAACGACGAGTTCGACGTAAAGTTCTACGAGTTAAACGTATTCCTCCTACCAATATCCCCGACTTCTTGTGAAAAAATGGCCATGTTGATGATGGAAAATTCGGAGCCGGCCATGCAACTGGAGAACCAACTCTTTGCATTACCGGCGACTTTGACGGACCGATGGCGCACTGAGCATGAAAAGTTGAACCCCACTACCATCTTAACGGACAACGGATCGGCCGGCGATATCAATTTTTTCATTCCACCCAGCACATCAGGACTACTCAGTTTGGCGGACATGATACTGGAATTAGAAGTGGGTATTAAAGTCCGTAAGACCACCGGAGAATGGGAACTGATAACAACGGCTGATGGAGTGGCACCAGCCAACAACTTTCTGCACTCCTGTTTTCCTCATGCCATGTGACGGTGGCCAACCGATTGATCTCAGATGCCGCAACTTTCTACCCGTACCGCGCCTACCTGGAATCACTGTTGTCCCACACACTGGACGCTCAACAAAGCCAACTGACATCCGCCGCTTTCTACTACGACAGTCCAGGTTCCTTCAACAGTGAAACAACCAACAACGGTGAAAAAAATCGAGCGGCACTATTTAATGCGGGGCAATACGTGCAGCTTTCCGGCAAATTGTTTTCGGACTTGTTTGACCAAAGCAAACCCCTGTGCACCGGAGTTCCCGTTAATATTCGCCTGGTGGTGAGCCGACCGGAGTTTGCCCTACGTGTATGGGATACGGACACCACCAAGACTTTCAAACCATTTATCCGTAACGCGCGTTTGTCGGTACGTCGTTACATTCCATCACCGGACTTTCTGACCGCCGTAGCCGGAGAACTCCTGAAAAAAACGGTCAAGTACCATATCGAACGCGTAGTGATGCGCGTGTCGGACATTCCCCAACGGACTCAAAGCACCGTAATCAGCAATTTGCAGATTGGCCAAATTCCCAAGGTGGTATTTATTGGTTTTGTGGACAGCGAAGACTTTCACGGCTCGCAAAAGAAAACCCCTTTACTTCCAACACTTCAACATTACACAAATCAGCGTCGAAGTGGACGGACAGAGCTACCCGACAAAACCGTACACGGCTGATTTTGCCCGTAACCTGTCTCTGGAGTGCTACGACGGGCTGCTGGACACTCTAGGACACCGCCCTAGCTTGCATGGCGGCTTACCTTTCAACCGAACCCAATACAACGACGGATACACCATTTTCGGATTCGACCTGACTCCAGGACATACCGGTCGTGGACCACTGACACTGATTAAGCAGGGAAACCTTAGTGTCTCGGTGTCGTTCGGGAAACCACTGAAAAGCACCATTATGATGGTGTGCATGCTGGTCTATGACAGCATTATTGAAATCAACCAGCATCGACAGCTGATTGCAGACTTTACAACATGAATACACAGGAAATTACCTCGGCCCTCCATGGAAATCCTCAGACCACAGCGGTATTTCGTGGGGTCTACGCCAGCGATCAAGTTCCAACGACATTGGCACCTTTTCCGGGAGCGTGTGTAGTGAATACCGACCCAGCGGACCAAGAAGGCGAACACTGGATTGCGCTGTACCAGGAACAAACCGGTAAAATGGAAATGTTTGATTCGTACGGGAAAGCTTTTGGAAAGCTACTCTCGATATTTTGCGCCACTGGCGGCCGCCAATGAAATAACCTTACAAAATGAACAGTTTCAGTCTGAGTTTAGCACTGTCTGTGGACAATACTGCTTGTTTTTTATTTTGCGACGCTGTAGTGGTGAATCTTATACTAATATTGTGCATTTGTTTACGGATAGCCGGCTAAGCAACGACAAAATGGTGTGTCAGTATGTCAATTCTTTTTCGACATCAATACATCCATGGTGGATGGAGCTTTACTCCGTCAAATGTGCAAACGTTTAATGAAATAAAAAAATTACTGATCCGTTTCCGTTATTCGTACGAGTAGATGAAAAAACAGCAATTCAACAGTAATCAGCCGAAATAATATCTCCAACATTGGAACGAATTTGATCGCCATGTTTAGCCAAAAAACCAGCCACATCGAGGTCAAGAGCTTGTTCAACACTTAACTTATCCAGTCCAAACAAAATCCCATGGACCATACGTAATTCCAAAAAGCGCTCCACGGCCCCGTTCCATTCCGCATCGGACGGTACGTAGTTGTCTTCATGGCACCGTTGAAAGGTCCCGTCGTCTAGCTGCTTGACCAGTGGCGCCAAAGCATCAGCAATATTTTCACACAGCGTTGGGAACGTCAGTCCTTCCTTGATCGGGTCCTGGGTTCCCTGTTCTTTTTGAATTTTGGCAATGTCCTTGAACAGTTGCAGGTCCTTCATTAAACTTTTCAGACCGTCATAGCATCGTTCACCGAAAGAGATACCGTAGCGAGTAGGGATCATATCGCCACCCTTTACTTCAAAGCGCCGAATCGTGGCCACGTTGGTGCCATTGAAGCGGCTCCAGCCAAAGTACATGTTACTGTCCAACAGATACAGCGGTGTCAGGCGCCCGGTTTCGGCTGCACTGGCCCGGGCTGCTTCATCCATGTCGGCTTTCTCGGTCAGCATCAGTGCGGCCAAGCGGAGAAAGCCGGTCTTGGACAGCGCGACATTCTTCCCGTAGCTGGCTTTCCAAGAATTGTCCGGCTGTTCCTTCCATTCACCAAAAACCACACGAATCGTACCAATTTTCCCGTCGCTGTTAGGGCCCACGTAGACGAACTTGTCGTTGCCCAAGCGGTACACTGGCTTCCCCAGCTGCGTGAAAGCAAACCGCGGATGCGTGGATATGGTAGCCGGCAAAATGTTTGGTTTGACCTTCTTAGCATCCGGCTTTCCTCCTTCTTCCGACTCTAGACCTTTCCGCTTGGACTTGGGTACAGCGGTTTGCGGACGCTTAGACGTTAATAGATCGAGAAATTCCATGGTAAAAGATAAACTTTTCAAAAGAGGTAAACAAGACAACCTGATGAAGATTCAACCACTTGCACTCACTTTATATAGGAATGCTTCTGGCTCAAGGTAATCGTTTTTGATTACCTTGGTACGAAGGTAATTGTTTTCACTTACCTCCACTCGTACAGAAGGTAATCGTGTTGGATTACCTAGGTAATCGTTTTGGATTATCTCCACCCGTACAAAAGGTAATCGTTTTGGATTATCTCCACTCGTACAAAAGGTAATCGTTTTGGATTACCTCCACTCGTACAAAAGGTAATCGTTTTGGATTACCTGGGTAATCGTTTTGGATTACCTCAACTAGTACAAAAGGTCATCCGTTCTAATTACCTCTCCAGTGAGCAGTTACCGATCGGAAAACGAACCAAATCATTTCGCACCAAGTTTGTTTTGAGCAGTATATTTCATGACATTGTTGTTTTCACCGTGGATGAAATGGCTACGCCTTGTATACTGGACACGGACTGGTTCGTTATCAATGGAACCAAGTACATCAAACAATTGGCGTTTTACTGTCCCGATAAAGCTGAACAGAATCTGTACACGTTTACGCTACCTCGTTTCGCCAATCAACACATCCCCGAGTTGAAAAGACAAGCACGCCACTCACACGGTTTACTGTGGAATACGGAAGGGGATTATCGACACAATCAGGTGACCTGCGCTTTGGAGGACATTTTCCGAAGAGTAGGGCGACCCAGCCAAGTGCGTTTCTTTGCCAAAGGTCTTGAAAAGTGTCGGCTGCTGGAACAGTACTTACCGGAAGTGAGAAACCTGGAATCTCTGGGCTGCCCCCATACCATAGGCTCACGTCGCTCCCCGTCTCAACTCTACGCAAAGCTGTGCGGTTCGCCTTGTGGTACCACTGCGATGCCCAAAATCACCAATGTTGTTGCCATTGCGGATTTAAACACTATCCTGGACCTGAAAAGAATTGAAGAACACCTTCCTATGGCACAGTACATTCCACAAAAGTTTTCGGGCCTGCTCCTGCGAATCCTGTCGCCCTACAAAGCGCATTGCCAGCTGTACCAAAACGGTAAGATTACCGTTAATGGTGCGCGGTCTGAACCAGACGCCCGGGAGCTGGTTCAGCGTTTCGCCAAAATTCTGGCTAGTGTGGGTTTTACCTGTACGGTTACCAACTACCGTGTGGTGAATATTGTGGGCAATCATGCATTTCCTAACCGTTTGCATATTGAAAAGTTTAGTACGTACTTTCGTTTGGAGTATACACCTGAATTGTTCAGTGGTTTGGCCATTAAACTTAATGTTGGACGTGCAGTGCTTTTTCCATCGGGTAAATGTAACTTTTTGGGTTTGAAACAGTCTGCTCATTTGTCAGAAGCGGTACGCGAGATTCAGGAAATGATCGATGAATTTAATAAATCATTGCTCTAAGCAAGCTGGTATCCGTACGGAACCGTATTATACTGATCATCTAGTATTCGTCTTTTGTCATAGGTCACCTGAAATCGTTTGACCATATTCGTATTACGAATCGTCATTTTAGATTTGTCACGTTGCAAAATATCAGGATAATTTACATCGACAATGCTACGGTTCGCCAGCATATCTAACATCACTTTAAAATTAATTTGCTCGCTGGTTCGACCGTTAATAGTAAATCCTTTGACTTTTACCACACTCTCACCATCGTTGGTGACATAGGCATAGGTCTTGGCTCCCAAGCTGACAAACTGTACAATGTGTTGTCCAGGCTTTAATTCGTTGGTGAGGTCGCCAAGAAAAATTCCCGTTGGAGGATCCGCAAGACCAGCCCGAGTCACGAAGAATATGGAATCTAATAAAATCCAGCGGATAAATAATGGATTAAAATTTCTTGAGAAACAAGCATCGACTTTGCAAACCTGTATCAAAGTACAGTAGGCGGCCTTCTACCATTTCCATAAACTTGAGCAGATGCAATCGAGCCCAGCACGTTGTAAATCTGCAACAGGAAAATCGTTTTAAAAATAAAAATAAAAAATAATATTTACTTACGCCGCTAAAATGACATTCGTATGGGGATTTCGATCAACAAAACCATTTTCAGTAGTGTAGGTTATTTGCACAATATCGTCAGTAAAAAGATCCCAGGAGTGAACGTGGTGTTTCCCCGACAGCAGCATGTCGTAAAACTTCTCCGGTTCGCTGATATACATTGTGTTTAATTTATTGTCCTGCATTCCAAGACGGCCCCAAAAACTAAGATGAAAAAATAATTAAATTATTGATTATAAAATTACAACCAATTGTCGTAATTTTAACAAACGAAAATAATCACGTCTATGCAGTAGTTACCTGTTCAAACATAACTTGGCTAACGCTCTCAGACCAGGATTCGGATTAATTTTGTCGTACTCCAAGTCGATGTTTTCATGGTCCTTGAAGTCCTGGATGTATTTCCGCTTTTCTGTCTCGGTTCGAACTTCTGCTGGCCAACCGCTGGCTTCAGTCTTTAGTTTGAGGAACTGATTAATGTAGTTTTCAAACAGCCGATCTTCGTGCTTGTCAAAGTGCCAAACTTCAAAAATCCTCACGATACTGTAGCCATTGTCCAAAGCTTTTTGAATTTCTGGCGTGCACCAGGTGCCGGTAATAGTACGTTCACAGTCAGCATGCTGACACTTGTTGTTCGTATGTTTTTCCATACACGTGCGGCACAAAGGAAAGGTCAGCTTACCACCAGAACGATAGGGTAGAACAGGATATTGAAGATCTCCAGGTGGTAAAACTTCACACGAAACAACACCGAAATAAGAACGTATATCCTGGAAATTCTTTGTAATTACGGTGGGATGTCCAACTGGATAGCGCCTGTTCTTGTTGACGAATGGATACTCGCTATTGACGTCGAAGTAGCAAATCTGTTCGTCTGCAGCTACTTGATGAAAGAGCTTAACAGCGTTAGTTCTTCCTCCGTAAAAAGCATCGCGCGGGTCCAAACGCTCGCCAAAGTGCAATCGCGAAACAAATGCTCTCATTTCAGGATTAGACTTTAGCTCCTCGTCAAAGTCGTGCTCCCAGATACAGGTGACACTATATCCTTGGCTTCGTATGTAATCTTCACGGTCCATAGTTTCTTTGTAAATATCGGACATTGGGAGGTTCCGGAACGGGTGCATCGTTGTCGGCGCCACACACTTTGGACAACCGTGAAACCGACAGCCGTAGAATTCGTACACCATGTTGATATCTTGACTGTAACCATCAACATAGTAGGGTCCCACCCTGTACTCGGAACTGTTGATTACGGACTGCACAGAACGGTTCGTATCTTCTTCGACCCACGATAACCATTTCTTTGCCTTAACTGATTGGTGGCGATTGCGAGCGTTCAGTCCATGTGGCAGTAATCCAATTTGTTCAGGTTTCAACATGAAAGATCGCCAGTATCGATTGCACAGACCGGCAATAGTTAGGGAAGACACAAACGGGCACAGACCTTGACTTATCTCTTGAAAAAGCTTTCGAAATTGTTGGCAGCATAAGCGGAGAACCGTAACGTCCATTTTGCAGTATTCAACAAATTCCTTGCGAAAATCGAATAAGTTATTCTTTTCCTGTTTTTCTTTTTCGTACCATCGTTGGAAGGACTCCTTTGCCTTGCTATTCATACCTTGGTACCCGTACTCTTCCATTGTCGGGAAGGGAACCACTTGGTCCCAGTTTTCTTTTCGGTTAAACCGGTGCGGGAACGTTCCTTTGCTAATTTCTGGTAAGCCAAACGTTGCTGGCCACTTTGCTAAGCTTTGAGGATTATAATTGATGCTGTCTCGGAACCTGATGTTGAGCTGAGGCACGTCAAGCTGTAGTATTTTCCCACCGTTTAGAATAACTTTCGGAACGACACCATTTTTCAGCAGCCAATTGAGAATAAAGTATCCATCAAAAGACTACAAAAAAAAAAAGTTATTTAGAAAAAAAACAATAAAAAAATACAATAAAAAAATACAATAAAAAATACAATAAATACAATAAAAAAATACAATGAAAATTTTCCTACCTTAAAATTATGCGCTATAATGAAATGGTCCCGGTGTCTTTCACTAAACAAAAAGGTGCACAACTCGTTTGTGACATCACCACTGAGAGGAGCATCTTCTTCAGGGAAGACCCACTCGCTACCGTTGTCATCCTGTACCACCTAGAATCAAATAACAAAGAGGAATTATTTGAAATTTTTTTAAAGAAAAAAAACAGCAATATTGATGACGTACCGCTAGATTTGGTATCAGAGTTCCGTCCTCCTGAACATAAGTTTCGAAATCAAAGTACAGAAAATCTGCATTCTCATTCATTTCCAGTTCATCAGCATTAACCTTGTGTGGTTGCATGTAGCACTGGTGTGACTGCGGCAGAGCGTGAATCTGGCAGGTTTTGCAAAATATTTCGCCACACTGGTGAGTGTTTCCGGGTTTTCTGCGTTTCAGCGAGACTATCCGCAGGCACTTCTTGCAAACATACACCGTGCTGCAAAGGCTTTTCTGATTGGGTTTCTCCCTTGTAGCTGCTTTCTTATGCTGTGTGTAGCAGTCCTGTCCAAAAAAGTCTCGGTTGCAGTCGTTGCAGTGAATCAGTGTGCTTGATTCCGATGGACATGATGGTCGAAGGCAAGCCTTGCAAATGAAAGAACAACGATGATTTTCTCGATTAGAATATCCTTTGTCGCAGGAGTAGCACCAGTATCTTTTCTGAAAAAATGCTGGTAGTGAGTTCAGCAGGTCAAAATGCCGGTCGTGATGCAGCAGAATAATTCTTTTCTTTTGTGCGGGTCCTTTGAAGACAATCAAATTCGCATGGTCCACACTGACGACAATAATCTGATACTGATGTAAGATTTCTTGGAATTTATGCAGATGCCGAAGATTAAATTCTTGTTCAATAAACCCCGCTCGGTGAACAAGACATTGAGCTTCTTTTGTTTGCAGTTTCTTTCCTCGCAGCAACTTCCGATACAGATTCAAGTTTTTATCCGCATGAGCCTTTCCAATAACCAAAGCGCGCGCAAGGCAAATCTGATCAGAATTCTTGATCACCACAACCGATCTCATTTTTTGCAAACGTCTCCGTAGTAAGGCGGGAACTTCACGATTACACGTTCCTTTAGGGATATCTGTATACTGGAGAGAGATTTCAAAGGATTCGTCAATAACAAACTCTTCGTAGGAGTTTAATACACGTGCGACCTCCGCCATCCACCTGGCGACAGTCAGCTGCGAACGTTGAATGGGCGGTGTCCAAATCGGTCGATTCAAACACTTCGAATCCATTCGCATCCTGACCATTTCGCTCGGTCCGACACCCTCCAACAGAGTGTCTAGTATATTCTCTAAAATCTGTGTTATAACTAGAGGCACATCAGAAAAGGGCAACCTCTCCAGCTCGGACACTTTCACCGAAAAACACTTGAAATGCAATCTGTATTTCTTAGAAAATTTCTCACCGGTGCGTTCAACGTGAATAAAGTCCTCCACAGCATATGGAGCCTCGCTTTCTACACCATCCATAATGTCAAAAATTTTGATAAAACCGATAGAAAACTGAAAAAACTACGCCTTCCAAACGGCGCGAGAGCTTTATACTTCGACGTGTGTAATATGGGTAATCTGATACGATTACATCTTGTACGAGTGGAGGTAATCCAAACCGATTACCTTTTGTGCCACTAGATTGCGTAGTTCTAACACAGGTAATCAAAAGCGATTATCTTGGTAATCCAATTTGATTACCTCTAATGCGAATAATACTGTGAGCTCGGACGAATGCAGGTTATGCGAGAATAATTTACCGACTCTAGCAGATTTTTGTTTCCAGATTTTATTAAAATCGATGAAAACATCGTCGTTAGAAATTCTAAATCATCTCAGGAACTTCTATATTTTCTGGCACTAGAACAGCGAGTTTTTCCCGCTGCTTTAGTAATGATTCAACAGCAGCCAAGTTTATATTAACACAACCTTCGTAAGAATTAAAGTGACTAATTCGGGTCAACGTCAGGTGCGCCGTTCGCGACTTCTTCTCACACTGCATACCAGCCGCAAAGTCCCTGTACCAGGCCAGCAAGGTGCGGCTGAAGCGCCGATACGGGTGTGACGGGACCTCTTTGCTGTTAGAGCTTTTAACCGAGTTTAACGCATCCTTATGCCAACCTCCGTTGAAGAGGTACTTCAGCAGTATCTGCAATTCTCCGCGGCTGATTTCCAGGATGCTACGCTTTGTGAGGAAAATCAGCATCGCATGGCTAAACCAACCGGCCGGATCCATGTCCCCTCCAAAAAACATCAAAAGGTTCTTCGCCCTCACATCCCAAGGCACATTGCGCAGCGTGGGAGGTATTAGAATGTGGGTGGCAATTTTCTGATTAGTGCGCTTCCACACAGGTGTTGGTGGGTGTAAGAAAGCCATGGCGACCGCTTCGGCTACCCAGTTCCCTGGGGCAGTCCCTTGGTCGACGATAGTGATGGTCGGCGGTGTGCTAAAGTTGTAGCACACTGCTTCACTGCCTGAAAAAACATCCCCATAAATATTGAGAAATCGATAGTTTTTATATCATTATTCTTACTCGTAGGCCAGACTTCGTGCGCACTGCTCCCAGCGACCGGTTCATCCAGAACCATGGGTTCCACTATAAAATTACAAAAATATTCATATTGCACCATTTTAGCATGTAATATCTTTCTTTTGCATTTTTTTAAATTAAATTAATTATCTTAAATTTTCTTTTCTTTTCTTTATTTCAATATTTTCTAAATATTTTTTTAAAATATTTTCGTTGAATATTTAACCATTTATAATTTTTTTTTTTAAATCGTAGTTTACTTTTAATTAGTAATTTTTTTGTAATTAAATTTTTTTCTTAATTTTGTTTTATTTTGTTTTTATTTCAGAAATGTTAATTATTTTGTACAGATTTAACCATTTCTAATTCTAGCATTAACGATAACAAATCTTACGTTCATGCATGGATTCGGAAACGCTGATGTCCTGCTGAAAAAACTCGGCATCGTTGTTGTTGCTGCCTGCCGCCGCCAAAAACGCATCGTTCGTGGCGATGTACGTTCCCAAAATGTCGCAATTGGTAGTAGAGAAATCAACTGAGGAATTAAAAAAAAATTTGTTAAAATTAAAATAATAATTCCTGAAGATAATTATTTATTATTTTATTGCTCCGACAAGCCCTTACCTAATTCCTGAAGGTTTGCCCCATTGACTTCCTTACACCATTCGTCCAGCCAACGATAGTCGGTGTCAGGTTCTTCAGCATCCCCATTTAAAGTGGCGGACGGTACAACAACTGCTGTAGAAGCTGTACGTTCTGCAGAGTTTTATTAAAATTAAAATAAAATTGAGATAATTCTTTGTTAGCTTATTGCTCCATAAAACCCTTACCAAGTTCCTGACGGTTTGCTTCATTCACTTCCTGGCACCATTCGTCCAGCCAACGATAGTCGGTGTCAGGATCTCCAGCATCTGGAGTTAAACGGGCGGACGGTACAACATCTGCTGTAGAAGCAGTACATTCTTCGCCAACCTGGCGGCGTAATTCCTCTAACCAATCGGTGAATGGTTGTGGGTTGTTTACTGTGTTGTCAAGGGATGTGAAAAGCTCTTCTAAAAGATCATCCATTGTTACATATTTTCGAAGCAAAAGATCACGAAAATGATACGAGTGCGATGACCTTTTATAGGATCCCCGATTTTTGCTTTCCATCAGAGGTAATCGTTTTTGTTTACCTGTATACAATGTTGCTATGCACCAGGTAATCAAAAACGATTACCTCTAGTGCGAGGTAATCGAAACCGATTACCTCTGGACAAATCCTGTTGATATATAAGGATCCAACCGTGGATGCAAATTCCAGTTCATTTGTTTTCTCTAAAGCAGTAAAATTTTCTCATTAAATGATGTCTACAATAGTATTGCTAGCGTTTTGCGGTGTGGCAGCTGTCCTTGCTATGGACAACCACAACACACCGCCTTTTCGCCGTCCATACGCTCGCCATACGACGCGACACCGCCCCCCATCACCGTACTGCGTACCACAGAGGGAGCTCCTTCCACCTTCCCCTACCGCGAGGCTGGTATATCAGGTGCCGTCATTCCCAGTGCACAACAATTACCCTCCACTGTATATTCCCCCCAACCTGCACGTGACTCCTCAGTTCGTCCAAATGTTTCAGTCCCTGGTTCGTCCGACACCAGTCACCCGCACGGCGAGTCCTAACGGAGCCATCTCCGTGGCGTCAAACTTCCTGTCGACCCGCCGCTCTCCGCAGTCACCACGGGCCAGCACCTTGGTGCCGCTGTTTCCCCTTGTCCGCAATGAGCCCGCGATCTTTGGACCCATATCCCCACCGCCGTATTGGGAAGCGCCTTTTTGGGCCCGGTCCGTACCAGCGAACGAATTGGTTGTGCAACGGTCTCCGCGGACTGCGGCTCGGGTGGCCGAGGTGATGGATTCGTACTCCCCCATCTCCAGCCCGTCGCCTCCGGGTACGACGCCGCCCTCGCCGAACCTATCGCCGGTGCTATCCGCCTCTGAGTCGCCAGCGCCTTTTAGCTTTACCCTGTCCACCCCCAACGTATCCCCGGCCCTGTTTGACTCACCCGAGTCGCCACCGCCAGAGAACACGACGACGTACTTCTCTCAGCAACCACAACCCTACTACTCAACGGCAGTGGTCGGGACCCATCACCATCAGATGGAGTCCCAGCTATTAAACCTTCAACGATTAACAGCCAGGATTTTGAACGGTCCTACGGAGATGCGGCTTACCGGAGTCCTCAACCTGCGTGGTGAGTAATACTAATTGTAAATTTTTCCTGCGTTTTTTTACCATGCAGTTAAGAACTAGCACGTATTTTCATAGATCTCATTACCGAATATGCGTACCATCATCACAGAAGGGCGGCCTACCACCAGAGCATGCCATATACCGTGCGGAGCCACTACGCTGAAAGCGCGTCCGCATCGTTGAACAACTGCTAAGTTTTTGTTTTGTTGTGTTATCTTTAGTACCTTTTAAAAATGCAAACAAATTTCTCAGACATCGGTGTTTTACTATCAGAAATATTCACGTATATGGACCAGATATAATATCAGGGAAAAACTTTCCATTACGCATTTTTTTTTGATTTTCTACGCGATTATTGAATACGCCGTTTTTGGATAAATGTACTTTTTTGGCGTTTATTAGAGTGAATCTAGAGTATCAGTGGCAAAAAAATGGAGACTGCTGCTTTCCGGTCTGTAAACGTGTACTCATATACGTTTCCTAGTTGGTGATACTCGTATATACATATATATGCTGTGTTCAGCTGTAGCAGTAATTGCCTGGCGGAAGGTGGTTAGAAAACCACGGGTGCAGTAAGGGACAAACAATTTATCAGGGTGCATTTTTTTCCTGAATAAAAATTACAGAATGAGGTTCTGCGTAGCATTTTGCTGTAAAAATAAAATTAAAGTTTTATTTTGAAGCCGTAAAATTGGACGAACAGAAGCTGAGTTCATTAATTTATTTCAAACTCCTGGTACAGATGCTAGTATGTATAAAACTAACGAGATCTAGCCCGATATGTTGTATGCTACATACATAAACAGGTCCTTCAACAAAAAACCACAACAGGAATAGCTCTCAGTGTTTGTAAGACCATCCTCACGGTTACCATGCAACTAACTGTTGTAACAATAAGGCAACAACCATAAATACGTATTTTTAGGACAATTAATATTATTTCTGAAAAATCTCGCAATCTGTAACTAAAAATGTTCAAATGCTACAGCAATTCGTTATTGTCTAACACAAAATGCTCGAAAACGTTCATGTCTCCCATTGAATGTTTCGACCATCTATATTCCGTAAATGACCTTTGTGAAAATGTCAAATTCTCTATTGAAAAGTGTTTCAAAAAGTATTCAAACAAGCGCGAGCGTGCAGCCGATCGAGACATCTGTCACATGCTCATTAACTGCTACCAGCCAGTTTTACCTGATTATTTTTCTGGTCACGTAGACACGATCATACTCAGTGTCATCCGTGGAACCGGTAACGAAAACCGCGTTGTTTGTTTTGGTGTTGATATGATAAAAAGCCTCAAGGCGTGGGTAGCCATGCGAGACAGACTGGGTTTGTTGATTGGTATGCCGACATTATCTGACGAACAGGCATTTCGAAAGATTGTTAAAGCGGACTTAGTTATCATCCCGTTCTGCCAATCAACGGACGAGGTTGCCCACCAAACGTTAGCAGTGGTCCACAAAAAATGGTAAACAGTGGTATTTTTTGTTTCTCAAAAAATTTTACACCAATTAACCGAACTATGAAAACGTATACTTGAAGCGACCGAAATATGAGAAAACCTTTTTTTTTTAGTTGCTTATCACTATGACAGCGTCGGAAATGACTTCGTGGAGAACTGGAAACAGTTCTTAAATCAGCTGATGAAACTGTATCAGGGTGACAACGAAAAGTATTATGATCAAATTAAGTCATGGGAGAAGCCATTTAAGATCAACAAAACGAATATTCAAACAACAGTAAGACTTTCAAGCTAATTTAGAGCACCGTGTTAGCGTCGATGTTTTTTCTCTCTCCCTAGTTTTTCATTGTTTTTTACAATTTTTGCAGGTGGTGACCCTCGAAAATGCGTGTGGTCTAATTTGTTTGAACATCGTTTCTCGCATTGTTCTGAATTTCTGCATTTTCAAGATCTGCGATAGAAGCTGTATTGACTTGGCGGTCAACGACTTCATGACCTGGTACCACGCCATCAAGCAAGCAGAAGGGTCCCATGCAGTCGATGAACCGAAAAGGTTGTGCACACTTTTTGTAGCCCAAGCGGGGCTTGGCTGTTATAAGACCAGCTGGGAAGTTGGGCGTTACGAAGGTACAGTTTTTTCCTCCGAGTTTTATTTTTTATTTTACGAGTATCCTAGCACATATCGTGACATACTGTAATTTGCCTACAGAATACGCTGCGATGATTGGATGGCCCTCCACGACACCTGCGGTGGTATTGAATAGCGTGAAATCGTTTGAAAATCAGACGTTTTACAAACTAAAATATGATGGCGGTCGAGTTTCGTATGTCCCTGAGTATTACGCCCTTTTGTACAAGCGCCCGTAATTGTTTTCTTAGTTATTCATATGATCATAAGTAATATGGTCTTTCTTAAAATAGTTTGACTATTATGAAAGGAATTTTTCCTGGCTCTATTTCATTTTTTTCTGTTACGTTGCGATCGCAAAAACCACAACAAACGGTCCTTGCGTTCACCAATGTACGTTGCCCAGTGACTGTACAGTACATCTTATACAGTATACAGTACATATACAGTACATACAGCACATCCAGTATACAGTACATATTATTATACCCTGGGTCTTCTTTTACCACCCCGGTCCACAGCCAAAAAGTGGCTGCTATTCTCACATCTCCGCTGGTGACCTTTGACGCTTTCTTCAGCGTCATACCTCCTATAGCTAGCCAATGGCTACTGTATCTCATCAGACATACTACTAGATACCAAATAGCTGCACGCCACTGACGCATCACATATTTGCATCGAGCGGGCTATTCGGAAAGCACCAAAGCGTACTGTTATTTACCGTTTAACGTGCAGTTGATACATCTCGACATTAACGTGATTATTTTTTATGTGAAAAGTTACCGGTCTCATTACAGTCCATCATACTGTATCGCTTCATTCACAACTTTCATTTCCTCTGGAAGTATGACGACTATTTCGTGGCGTCCCCCCAATCCTTCTCTCCTCGGCTGGGACATGCCCGGTCTACTCAACGGAACCGTCACATTCAACGTTAACGTGTCAACACAAGCAGCGGTCGATCCCTTCTGCGCCACGACACTGACCATCACCATGACGAAGGAGGCCAGTCCCCGGTCGACGAGGGTGGACTGCTGGTTGCACAACGATGTCAGCCGGCACGAGTGGTTTACTCAGTCGGCATCCGTACATTTCGCGCCGTCGTTGCCGGATGGACGGCAACAGCAGCGTGAATGCTACATTTCCACCGGCTTTTCAATGTCTAGCCTTTTATTTTTTCGTTCGTTCACCGACGAAGCCGACTGAAAGCTGTGTCAATATTGATGACTTTGGTGGCTGTTTTTACTAATCGACAGTGTGCGAATAGTCGTTCTTAGTATGTAATGTATTCCGAAATAAGTGGAAATTGCTCAATTGAGTTGACGTGTGTTATCAGTGGGAAATTCACTTGTATGGATGCTACTACTACATTCTTTAAATTTGTACTGTGTATACGTTGTACTTCTGTCATCGTCTGATGATTGACTATTTACTCAGCTGACTTCTTTGTCTACTGCTCTTTATAACAGGCACTTTTTCCGCTTTGACGATCTTAGACGAGCTAGCGAGCAAGCTTTCCAACTGTACTACGAGTAGCGATTTAGAACTTTATGTTTGTTATTTACTTTATGAACTACTTTATGTTTCCCACTGTCTTGCACATGTACAAAGCAAGAGCAACCCAAAAGTTGACCTACAGCCAGCCGGATTACGGACAAACGCCCCAGTAGCCGGTAAGACTCAAATCAGAATTTCGACCAATTTTACCTGTTTCCGACTTGTTTTCATCTCAATAGACCAAATTATTGCCAGTTAAAATTCTTCACACTGAACACAGTCAGAGCAATAACAACCATACAAAGGTCGCATTCCACAACAACCCAACCCGTACATTCCCACAACAGCCATACTGGGTGCAACACAGGCTAGTTCTTACCCTCAGCAGAAAATGGCTGATCGCAAAGCAATGACAACTGCGCTCGTGTCACGTAGCTATCACAAAATGATGATCTTAAAATCATGTGTAAATCATCTACAGCTGAATATAACTACATATAACGTCCGTAATAACAGCAAGGAGAGTGGTCTATCCGCCGCAGTTGCAGACTATCTCGGATCTTCAACAGAAAAGTAGAGTACCTCTACCGCCTTCTGTTATAAAATGTGCCCCGGTATTTTTAAATAGATTTTTACAGTAGCGTGAAGGGCCGTCGCAATATTCAGTTACTAACTGGCGTTGCGCGACAGCCGGAACGTTCTATAATCTAAACCAACACCCCCTCTCCTTCACTGTAGGCAGCTCTTCAACTGCTGTGGGCGGCGTCATCGTGGCTGCGGCCACCGGACACAAGACCACCCGTGGGTAAGATATTTATGGCTTAAGCACATCGTCTGTGTCCTCTGTATTTGGGGAGCATTAGTTTTTGACGGTTTATTTGTGAAGGAAAGAGACGCATCGAAGCCAATGGCAGTTAGCTAGTAGGGAATAATTGGCATTAAAGCTGTGCGCCACCTGAGATTTCAAAAAATTTTTTGTGATGACAGGATGCTTATGATTAATTTAGCCAAGTTGCATATTACACGCAAGTCATGGGTGGTAGTTTCCCCAGCGACGCTATTCGCAGCGGCCCAATATACAAAGGGCATGCCAGAAATAACTTTATTTTATATATATATAGTTTCCGCCACAAACTTTGTCCGCTAACCGTACCAAAGTTTTTAATAACTACAACCATTAAGTTGTCACACTAAAACTTGACTTTACTTGAGTTTGAGCTGGCCGCAGAAGAATTCATAAAAAACCGGTTTTGGACGTCCTACCTAGAATAGTTGGTTTTTCGCGCTATATTCAGCAGATTTTTCGGTCTTCCTCTTTTGTAATTTGAAAATTTCCAAATGAAATTATGTTAGACATTCTTTCCTCTTACAGAACAGGCCGTATCAATCAGGCCGTTTTAATTGATACGGCCTGTTCTGAACGCTCTTGGAAAGGAATATCAACGCGACCAGATACTGGTACATGCCAAGAGCAGAAAACTCACAGATTTATAAAACTGATGACAATATGCGAAAAATTAACAGCAAAAAATTGTTTTCTTTGATCTAACTAAAAACTTATGTAATTTCTGTCTGCAAATATCGATATGTTTTGCCATAAATTACTCTTAGCTCAGCGGTAATCGCGTTAGGCGCGATGTCTGTTTCGGCTGTCTCCTTCAAGCAACCGGTTATGGCCGCAAAACTGGTTCTGGTGGAAAGCCAAATGCCGAGTTTATTGTGGCTATTGTGTACTACAGTAGTATATGCCATTAATGCCAACGGCATATTATCTTGCTTGAATAAATAAAAAGCAAATAGTAGCCGGAGATAAGCGGCATAAAAATTTCCACTCAGAGACGCGTTGCCATTTGCTCTCGTTCTTCCACTCGACACTGTAAATGTACCTTTTATCGTTAACACTTTGCGCTTCTGTGGCTGATACCAGTGTTTTGTAATTGTATTACACTTTTTGCTTTGAACGGCTCGGTTTAAATATTAGCATACTATTTATCAGAAGTCAGAAGAAGTCGGAAGAAGCATTCTTGCACTACGAGTACAGTAACTACCAATTTACGTCATGGGGAGGATTTTTAGCCTTGCATTAACTGGGTTCCTTACCCTCGCTGCAATTGTCCTCTTCCTGAAATGGTGCAGGGACCTTGCACCATTTATGGAGGCGGACAATTTCCAACCATCTCGTCCAAGCTCCTAGGTTGCCCACGCAAGCAAAGCCAACACCGGGTTGGAGCGATGTGGCGGTAAATCTAGCTGCTATTTTATCGGTGACTTACCGAGGACTCCGAATTAGTATATAACTATATATATTAATTCAGAGTTCTCGGTAAGTCACCGATAAGACGACCAACGCGGACTCAACCGTTTCACCGGATTTTTTTTTCAACCGGCTTTAATCATCAATCTGGCCCACGCAACTAGTTACATGAATTATAAAAAAAAACAGACCGGATTTCAGCTTTGAAGTGCTGATGTGGGATGCAACTCTGGAAGAGTTGGTTCGGGACGCCGTCAGTCGACGACCGTGACAAGCGGTGTCCAGAGCACGCGTTGGCACACTGCCCATCGGAGAAATTCGCATTGACAGCCTGGGTAAGCCGTATCGGTATTTACTAGGCAGATTGTGCACAAGAACCTTCAGCCTACAGGTTTCTGGAGATTCGCGTGCCGCCGTGCCCTAATGTGTATACCGGCAGGTCAAACACTTGCCAGAAATATAAATCTTTTTCTATTCAGTTGTCTGCTTCTCTGTTAGGCCAGCGGCCTTATGTTAGGCCTTGGATTGTTTCAAATTTCATCCATCCATTGGTTAATAACCTCATAATTCTGGGCCAGAATTATGAAGTTATTAACTAATGGATGCTCTACTCTCCGCAGCCATCAACCTTTATTTTTCGATTCAGCTGCACCAGCAATGCAACCTGTGATCAGGAAAATAGTGCTGGAAATCTGTATGACGTTTAAATTCTTTACGACTTAAAACGTTTCTACAGCCTAAATAATATTGTCCGCACTCCGCAACGTGCGGCGAACAGTTAAGGTCCAAGGTGAGCCCATACAGGAGGGAAGACTGTTTAGTCAGCTCGAGCAGCAAATTCCTGAAATGGACCGTCCGTATCTGGAATTTGTTGTTTGAGCTAGTGTATCTAACGACCGATGACCTCAACCGAACGATCTTGGAGATTGCCACGAATGTTATGGCGACAGAGGTGATGGACGACACGTTCAGTGAACAAAAATCCCTCCCGATTGTCCATATTCGGCAAAAGGCATGCTGCAAATGACACAGGAGTCGTCGGAATCGTTCCAGGTGATAAACAGTAACGCGGTGGTCGAAGACCGGTCCGATACTAAGATAGAGCATCAAGAGCATTAACAGTTTAGCATTAAGAGTCCAAGTTTAAGTCCAAGTATCCGACTGGTCAGCGTGTATAGATGGCGTTAAGCGAAGATATAATACGAGAAGATATAAGAAGCGTTAAGCGAAGATATAATATCGTATAAGCGCACGCACGATACCACATTTTCATGCTCGCAAACCTAGATAGTCCTCACTAAACTTCGGTCGTCGAGTGATATTTTCTTAAGAAGAATTCTCTTTCGTAGCAGCAGTCAAAATTTCCGTTTATTGTGTAACATGATCATTTTGTAACATTTATCCCATAACCTGATCGACCGCACCGTGGATAATTAAACTACCAATCACTTCGGCTGTTTACATTTTGGCTTCTCTCATTTCAGCCAAACTTTTTTTGGTCGCCATTTTTACTTCGGTTGCCATATAACATTTCGGCTAACAAACATATTCCGCCAACTTTGCCCACATCCCATCGAAAATCTCTCGTACTCAAAAAAGAAAAACTTGCTGATAACGCAGATCGTACACCAAGTTGACGGTAAATTCCGAACTGAATGCCTTTATTTTTGTAGAGCTTTGACAGGCAGTTACGTGTCCTAAACTGTCACGTCGAACATCATGACATCTCAATTTGCCTTTTCAGTTTACCTTTTCCACCATGCAGTGTCCGAAATGATCGTAATAATTATTAGGCACTAATAATTATAATTGCGTATGTCTGACCTCTTTTTTAACAAAATGGATTTATTTTCACGTACGGTACCACAAAGCATACGCTAATGCCTGATCTCGATTTCGCTGGCCATCGAGACATCGACTCACAATAGCTGCGGTACTGTTAACTAACCTGGACACACTCGAGACTCGAGGCATCGTATACCACAGCGTCCACAGACAGGCTCGTTCGTTGTACACGCTGTGATCGGGCCTAGAGTATCTGTATATCGAGAATGATGTGCCATGAATACGTTATACATTGTGTTGTACTCCGTTTTTCAAGTACCGCCTTCATATTGTAGATTGGCGATCGATAGAGAATCCTTATTAGCATTACCGCGCGCGCCATGCAAATGCGCGCGCTCTCCGTCTCAACGATCAGCGAAACCAGTTCACTGATTTGGCATTATGGGCATTTAGTATCGTAGAAAACAGATTACAGTACTCGTAATATTTCTAAAACAACGCAATATACGCGGCATTTGTTTAGCTGATACGCGAGGTTCTGGCTGTCGATCCGACTGCATGATGGAGAAGATATCGGAGATTCCAATGGCTACTGGCAGTGTGTTGGCATTAAGTATCGCGGAAGTCCTCTTGGCAGTCGCGGGATTCGCCGCAAATTTCTACAACCTATTTTACGGTGAGAAACGGAATAGCGGATGTCGTTATTAATTTGCCGGTAGGGTGTACGCATCATTCAGCACTAAAACAGTACCGTCAATTTACGTCTGATAAGACGCCTGTAATTTATAATAAAGTTTCTACCTATTAATAATTTATTAACCTCCGTTCACTGTTTGCGGCTTTAATTTCCAATTTCCGCCATGGTTTTTTCAACCATGCAGCATCTATCCAGTCGTTACTTGTTACTTTGTACTTTTCCATTTGTTTTCTAACCCTGGAAAACAGATAATTATTTATAAAAATTCGGACGCTGATGACAGAGTGCAAAAGATGTGACTAACAGCTGGCACTACTCTTACTATGATGTCATCGATCAACTGCCTTACCGGTTCCAGCTTTCATCGATCGGCAGCACTGTTCTACAGACGGTGACGAGGCAGTCATATGACTACATACTACAAGATGCGTTTGTCTTTAATTAAGTACTCCATACAAGGAGGTTAATAGTTAGTCTGTTTATTAGAATAATATCTGTAGCTCGCGAAATAACAGACAATAATAACAAAAACCAAGAACGCAATGCATGGGTTTTGAAAAAATAATGGTAGAAATGAAAATTATCAACCGCCAGTGATATTCGCTTTCACTGGGTCGTTTCGAAAATTCCGCTGAAAACACTGTTCTTGGGATTATTTTTTCCATCACTGGAATTTTACCTAGAAATATGTACATGTTTCAGTATCACAATAATTTAATTTTCTGTTTTATCACTCCGCAGAAACTTTAAGCGGTGTTTTGGAGGGATACTGGCGGCAGTCGAGAATATTCCGATGCTGCAAACGCTGGCCTTCGTCATTTTCATCCCGTTGTACGGAATCCAGCTGGTATGCGGTGCCCGTTCCCTGCTGGCCGGTGTGCGACTACTCCGTGGCCAGAGAAATTCCGCCTTCCTCGATGAAGAGAACTATACCATATGCCAGTTCAGATACTGCCAGACGTTGGCGTTAATGAGCAGCGGCATGTGCCTGCTGGCCCTGGTTTTCGCCTGGTTCTCCCACGTCGGGTTGGCCGCTAACCGGCTCTTCTGGTTCGCCAGACCCAAACCTGAGCCGTGGGAAGCCGTAAACCAAGCTTTCCAAGCCGAACTCCCCGGACAGATGGCCATGCTGGCAGCGGTTCTGCTACAAATCGCCAGCGTTATCGTGGTGGTTTTTACCAATCGGCAAAGTAAATTCGTCCGCAAAGATCTGGAGTCTACAAAGCGGAATGCGGATGATCACATGTCGTCCCAGGAAGAGCGCAAGCTGCTTGCCCGTTCGAAGAAGCCCAGCGGACCACCGCCAGCGTACAGTGCCGGGAAAATGGAGATGGCGGTGTAGGACAAGATGCCAAATGTGACCTTTAGTTGCAGGCATGGATTCATCGTTGAGTTCGCAGTACATGACCTTTAACAGACAATCATTGAACAAGTTTACGCGCCCTGTGAGAATCAAACACTAAACTGCGTGTCCATAGTAGGCAGTGCTTGAATATCTATATATATATTACAGTGTTTATGCGCAAATTGGCATTATGCATCTTGTGTCACAAGTTTTATCTAAGCACATAGTAATTTTGTATTGATGTGTACAGTATGTGCTCCGATTCTCGAGAGCCTCACCCGCATACCTGTCATAATAATCATCACTGTCGATTCCGGAGAACCTTCTTGTTATCGCCCGTATTTCCCGCTTCACGGTGCCATCACGGATTACCCGAGATGCTTAACGCCCGTCACTGCAAACCCAGCGTTAGCCGCTTACGCCCAGCCGAAGTGCTTTCTCATCCATTGCTTTCTCCGTGTAGCGCTCCTTTCGCTCCTTCCAGAAGGAATATTCCCGCAAAACCATGGCTGCTTTCATTTTCGACGATTTGCCCTGTTATGCAATGTATATAGATATACGCGCATTTAACGCGCATGCGCATTTAACGCCTATTTTGTGGCACTACAACTGGGCATAAGTGCGAGTAATAAGCAAGAAATAAAATTAGTGATCATATCTCCTCATACCGTTACCTGCTTTACTCGTACCATTACCATCGATACGGTGCATTTTACAGTTATTCGGTATATTAAGCTTCTGAATCTTTTTAGGAGCAGTGCGTTTGTGGAAGGTTATGCCAAAGTTGTGATTCGGCTGCATCCAAGATGTGATACAGCTTCATAATCATTAACGTTTTATTTTGTCATCTGAAAATGCTGAACGGTTTGTCTGGTGCGTGTTGCCAAAATATAGCGGTATCTGGAAAGAATCCTAAAAGTAAAATAATGAAGTTTTAATAAAACCGTGATGTTCAATTTTGCCGTTTACAGAATTCGTAAAGCGAAATAAAATTAATAGGCACTACGCAGACCTACATAGGCAGATTTCTCCTATTTGAGACAGTGCTGTCGTGCTGACAATAATGACCAATAAACTGCCCGTTGATAACGTTAATTATTAATATCCGGAATTTGTGCGCCGCTCATATATGATATATCGGGTCGGTTTGTTACCGCAAGTTTTGCACAAAAGCACAAGGAACAACAACTACCGTCTCCAATTATCAACATAACAGCAAGCAACTTTATCGGGCGATGCAGTTTATTATAAAAGCGTCAGATAGCTGCACGGTTTTATCATGCATTTAATTTAGCATATAACAAAATGTTATTGTTTCGTCGTGTTTTGCTTTGTACTCTGTATACATGTACCGCAATCGATGCGGCATATGTTCGATGCTGCGCGCTCGGGCATAAACCTGCGCAGGCTGCATGCTCGATTAAAATGGGAACGGATGTTGGACACGAGCAAGGACTTTTACTTGTAGTACTCTAAATTACTTGTGCTTTTTCTCACCTTTTGATCAAGAAAAAGTGGTTATTTTACGAACCAGTTCCCAGGCATGTTTTCACAACTTCCCTGTACGGCAATAATGCCACCATTGAGATGCCCGGGTACGCGGAAGTTTTACAAGTTAAACAAAACGTTGAAGTGTTGTACGCTAAATCTCAGGAATGTATGGCATACTGCTCACTGTTCGGCATCGTACCTATTCGTGCCTTTTATACGTCAGCAGCGCCGAGCACTGTCGGGATGACAAGTACAGTCTGTATTAAACCGAATAACAGGTTGGGCATTTCAGGTGCCTTTTCAGTTTACCTTTCCCCACCTTGCAGTGTCCAAAATGGTCGTAACATGAAGCACTAATAATGATATGAAGCACTAATAATTATAGATGTAATTCAAATTTATTACCAGTGTTTAATTGCGTATGTCTGACGTGTTTTTAAAAGACAACGGATTCATTTCCATGTACGGTACAACAAAGCAAACGATAATGCTTGAACTCGATTTCGCTGGCTTATCCACAGACAGGCTCGTTGAAGTATACTTTGATCGGGCCTAGTGTAATCGAGAAAGGTGTACCATGAATACGTTATATAAAATAGTTAATACATTGTACTGTACTCGGTTTTTCGAGTACCGCGATCGTATTTTAGATTGGCGATCGATGTAGAATCCTTATTAGCGTTACCACTTGCGCCGTGAGGCATACGATCTCCATCTCACTGTTCTCACATGATCAGTGTTTCGGATCATCGCATTTCGGGCATTGAGTATCCCGTGTCGCAGAAAAAAACTACCCGGGTACTCGTGATATTTCTTCAACAACAATATTCGCGGCATTTTATTGACTAGCGCGCGAGTTTTTGATGGTTAATGCGACTGCATGATGGAGGAACTACCGAAGTTTCCAAAGGCTGCTGGCAGTGTGTTGGCACTCAGCATTGCGGAAGTCATTTTGGCACTTGGGGGATTCGCCGCAAATTTCTACAACATATTTTACGGTGAGACGCGGAATAATGGGTGACGTTATCTATTTCCGGCAAGCCGTATGCATTATCCAGCACCTTCAGCAAATGCTACAGTATAACATTATTAGCAGCATCATTAGCAGCGTATATCATCATCAGCAGCTAAATAGGTATTTAAAATTATATACTGTAGATGTTTTAAACCTTAAAATACTTACTAATTTTGTCTGCTTTATCAATCGATGGACGTTGTAATATTATGTAACTTAATTTGTGTGTAAACGCATTCTGGACTGATTGGAATGGACAAATGCGTGCAACAGGAAAGCGCTTCGCTGGCGTCTAGCGTTTGTTCGAGGCACACCTACTCGTATTTCAGGATCCCTTTTAACAGACCCTATTTTATGGCTTTCTTTGCAACGAGCCTAGGGGTAGAAGGAGCAGAGGCATCCCATGATCCCAGCCTCCGCTTACAATTGTTAGACGACTTGAGCGTAAGCTCGATGTGAAGACTTCTGGCACTACTTACTACTCTGATTTCCACTGACATCATTAACTGTGCCTGAAATGATGTCCGATCCTCACCGGTTTTAGCTTCTATCGATCGACAGTACTGATCTACGTACAAATCAACACTAGGTATTGTAGTCATATGACTGCATGCTGCATGTTAACTGTACTGTCTGTACATAATAAAAAGGAGCTTGATTGGTCTATATATACAATAAGTAATCACGATAATTATTGATAATATTACCTGTAGCTCGTGAAATAAGAAATGCTAATAGCAAAATCCAAGAATGCGACGCTTGGATTGTTGAAAAAACATTGGTAGGGATGAAAATTTGTTGAACCTACAGTGATATTCGCTTTAACGGTTCGTTCCAAAACTTTCGCTGACAAAACGTTCCCAAGACTTTTTTCCCATTGCTGAAATTTTGCCTTAAAAAATAAATGTGTCATATTAGTTTGATTCTCTCTTTGAAGCGATAATAATTTGATCACTCTGCAGAATCTTCTATGTAATGCTTTGCAGGGATACTGGTTTCGGACGAGCGTATTCCGATGATACAAGCGCTGGCGTTGGTCATTTCCATCCCGGTGTTCGGGACGCAGCTGGTATGCGGTGGCCGTTTTATGCTGGCTTGTGTGCGAATATTTCCCGGCCAGAGGAATTCCGCCTTTTTCGATGAAGGTGGCATGCCCCTGTGTGCGCTCGGAATTTGCCAGCTGTGGGCTTTAGTTGGCTCCGGCATGTGTCTGTTTGCCATGGTCTACGCGTGGTTCTACCAGGTCGGGCACGCCGCTAACCAACCCGTCTTATTTGCCCAACCCAAACTGGAGGCGTGGGCAGCCATCCAGCAAGCCTTCCAGGCCGACTTCCCCGGACAGATGGTCATGCTGGCAGCGGTGCTGCTACAGATCGCCAGCGTCATCGTGGTGGTCTTCATCATTCGGCAAAGTAAATCCGTTCGCAAAGAGCTGAAGTCGGCTGATCGGAACTCTGATGACCTCCATTCCTCCAGCGAAGAGTACAAGCTTATCGCCTTTGTGAAGGAGCATAACGGACCACCGCCGCCGTACAGTGACGGAAAAATGGTCATGACGGTGTAGGACAAGGTGGCAAACGTGACCTTTACCTGGACACATGGATTCATCATTCAGTTCGCAGTTAATGACCTTTAACAAGGAATCGTTGAGCAGTTTACGGTTTACGCGCCTCTGTGAATCGAAAGCCAAAATACGAGTCCATAGTAGACACAACTTAAGTATTTGTATCTGTATCGTATCTGTATCTGTATTACAGCCGTCATGCGCAGATTTTCATGATACGTCTTCTGGCCCAAGTTTTATCTTAAAACATAGTGATGTTGCACGGATGCGTCAAGTGCGTCGATTCCCTAGAGCATCGCCCGCTTGACTGTCATAATAATTATCATTATCAATTCTGGAGAGCCTTCCTGTTTTCTCCCGCAATTCCCGCTTCACGCTGCCATTGCGGATTACCCAAGATGCTTAACTGCGGTCACTGCAAACCTAATTTGGTCCACCTATTGGCAGACCACTGGTCTCCGTTGCAAATTAATCCTAAATATTATTCGCAACCCCTGTAGGCTGATATTTCATCGTGAATCTTGGTAGTAGTGTACTTCGGTTAGCGCTGTTTCTTTGCTTGTGGTAATCTGGTTTCAAAATGCACGAACCGACGCGGAAGATGCGGACAGCCGAATGCTGCATAGCCTCTTTTCATTTTAGATTTATCCAAGGTTTTGTTTTTACGGTTTACGTTGGTGTACTGTATACCCCATTCTCTATTGGCTAACCCTATTTTAAAAATTTTAGCAGAGTACGTAGAACCATAATGTATTGCCATATGGATATACTGCCAGATGCAGAACATAGTCGATGTTGCGTGCTCGGCAAGCATGATCACTGACTACAAGCACGGACCTTACTTGTACTTTCAAATTCTAGTGGGTTTCAAGAAAAACTGATTATTCCACTAACCAGTTCCAGGACTGGTTTTCTCAACTTTTTCGGTATGCCGCCATCTAGATTCCTAGATACGAGGATGTTTTGCAAGTTGAACGAAACGTTGAGGTCTCTTGCGTTAAAGCGCACAAGTGGCGTTTCTCATGGAAGAAAAAAGGTCATCACTTATCATCGTACTGGATAAACTCTATAATATGCATCACGCTACCATTTTTCTTGTAAGCGCCTTCATCAGGATGTAGTTTTAGCCTAGTACCATTGCGGGACGACTACGGATACAGAAAACGGCACAACGACTACAGCAAAGGTATAAAGCAAAGTTTTTTGGTGAAAGCTACAGTATAATTAATCTACCACCGGATGGAAAAGCAAAGAATAACAGAATGGGGCCGTTGGGTAACCGACGATAAACCTACGTATGAGCAGACAGTAAAACGGATGCACTAGTAAACACCGCCATCAACGAAATGAAAATTAAAGTGATCCTCTTTAAGTAATCAGTCAGCTAGTTGAAACCAGAAGGGAAGACGCAGGAGCTCCTGAAATAACATCACCATTACGTACACCTTTACGTACATCATCGATGTGTACCTGATGACGATAAGCGACTGGCAGAGAAGGTGCTGCTGCTGTCTGTATCTACAAATCGGTATCATCTAGTGCAGCGAAGGGCGAGAAATGGACATAGGCCGACTGGACGAACCATTCGTGGCGGCGCACATCGGTGCGCAGCCAGCAGTCCACCCGCGCCGACCGGTTGCTGACCACCTCGGTCAGGCGGATGGTCAGCGTGCTGCTGCAGACGGGATCTCCTTTTTCTGTAACGGGATAGCTGATCCTAGTGGACAGCAGACCATCTACATGTGACTTTTGGGCGATGGTCCGCAGGTAGCGATAGGGCGCCGTCAAGAAGCGGTCGTCGAACTTCCAGATAAAGTGCGCTTGGGCACCCGTCTGGCTGCAGTCGACGAACCCGCTACACTTCATGGAGAAGCTCCACAGCGGCGTGGACACATTGCGCATGGGCTCCGTGAAGACGTCTTCAACGCGCAGTTGCAGCTGCAGCTCGAACTGGCGGAGTACGCAAAGGTCAGTGTCGTTATGGCAGGACAGGAGACACTCCACCGACCCGGCGGCGTCGCGGGTCATATTGTGGATGAGGAGTTGGGAGGTGTTCAGGCTGGACGTCAGCCGGTAGTAGTGACCTTTCGGGGAGTGTTTCGTAACGTGGCCTTGGATGGTGATGTTGTTGTGCCGCCAGATAACCCGTTCCGCGAAAACGGAATAACAAGAAAAGGTCGCCGTGACTCCCAACGGGACCCGGACGATATTAGCCGGATGGGACGCGTAGTTGAAGGAGGGCAGGATGACGACGTTGTCGGTCATGTTGGCCTCGGCCTGCTGCACCGCCAACGCGGCACGCTGCACTGAAACGTCAAGACCGGGCTTTGGGGCACACTGATAGCCCGGAAAAATTCACGAGAAAACTTACCTGTTGTCAGCGGCTGTCCCACACTCCCGCCTCGCGCCACACGATGCGGTACTGTTGTCAGTATTCCTGCTAAGAGAATTCTGTGAAGCGTGTCGTTCATCATCTTCCTGCGTAATGGGTGAACCAGATTTCGCGAAGCTCCGTGCCACTGCAAACCTGCACAACAAAACTCTTAGATATTGTTTATGTCACCAGGATTCGATTGAATTCGGGCATGTACTTACCATACACTGCGCACATAGTACTCCATGCTGCAGCTGTACGGAACGTGCAGCCGGTTTATCAACCATAGGCATTGCATGGCTGGCTTCGTTGTACTGCGGCTGCTTGGCAACCGATGAGGTCGGGAGCAGATTCGCTCCGTTCTGCCAGACTCAGTTAAGGGAAGTGACCCGGGACATGGTACCAAATTCGTCCACATGTACGAAATCTTTTGCTTTCGCGCACTCCCAAACCCATTTTTCTCTTGTTTTATGACATTCTGTAGCCGAATGATTTGTATAAACTGGAGTGAAAACCGGTTGCGCGCGCAACGTCCGGTTCGGGAGTTATGGCTGTTAGAAAATTCCAAAAAGTTTAAATGCATTCAGGTGTAACAAAAAAGTCTCAATATGGGCAGATCTCTTTCAGATTTTGCACGTAAATGCACATAACCATGATGAACGTTTTTACATCGATCCACTGTTCTAGCATGTTTTTCAAATTTTAAAATGAATTTCAAAAATTTTAAAATTCATTTTAAATTTTGAAAATATTCATGGAAGTCTGGATCATGTAAAAACTATTTTCATGGCCATGTGTATTTACGTGCAAAATGCGAAGGAGATCGGTCCATAATGAGGCTTTTTTTGGTACACCGGAATGCATTTAAACTTTTTGGAATTTTCTAACCGCCATAACTCTCGAACCGGATGTTGCGCGCGCAGCCGGTTTTTACGCCAGTGTTTACAAATCATCTGGCTACAGAATGTCTTAAGACAAGAGAAAAATGGGTTTGTGAGTGCGCAGATGCGAAAGATTTCGTACTTGTACATGAATTTGGTACCAAGTACCACTTCCCTTAAATTGCGCTACCGACTCCGTTGTACATCTCCCCGTACGAGATAGCCGTGTATATTCAATTAGTATGTTAGAATCATCTGTTTTTGATGCGTATGAATATCGCATGATTAAAATTTACTTTGATTTTTCCAACAGCCATTTTCGTATTTATATCGATGCGTGATATTAATACAGCGGACTTTGTCTTGCTATCCCGATGCTATTCTATCGGAAAACTAACCAAACGTAGGTTTCTACATAACCTTACACCCGGGCTTAGCCAACGCGTGTCTTGCTCAGCCGTTTGTGTTGCAGCTGAACGCGCGGCAGCGGAATATCAAACAAGGGAAACGTCATACTCTCACCAGCTGTGGAGGTCGCTGCAAGCCTTTCTATAGAGAATGGTTAGCGCCGGCAGTCCTCACAGTACCATCTGGGGCTTTTGCACAGGCTTCTGGCGAAGCCGCATCCTCCACACTGGCACAGAAGATACTGGGACAGCAATACAACCATCATCCAAGACGACCATGATGCCACACACTCAGGAGACGGTCATTACCATGCGAAGGTAATTAGTGGAAGTACCAACTACCTCCTGAATCCGGATCCATAAAATCAGTAGCGAGTCCCGCGGGATAGTGGTATGCTGCACGTCCTGTCAAACGGTCAGTAGTCGACTTACACGTGCCGGCCACAGTTGCCCTGATCTGTTCTGCGCGACAATGTTAACCATCGCCGTAAGCGAAGCGACCAGTCCGTAGTCGGCCACTATTTTTTACACTGCGCCAAATCCATGCTATGCAGCACCATGCGCCGTGCAGGTGCGCACTGAACTGCTTGAACAGCATCATACAATTAACCCGGGCGCCGGCGGGCGGTTAAAAGCGACTGCCGTCACAACATTTTCAAACCTGACAAACAATTGTAATTTATAATGTCAAAAAATTATGACGTCAATAAATTTAATTTTGTCAACCGAAATTTTGGGAGATTCCCCCAGATCAGCCCAGTTCACCCATGATTAAAGGGGAATACCCCAAAATTTCGGGTGTTGTATGGCTGACCGCTCATGGTCGTCGATCTTGGGGAAAAGCAAATTTCAAAAAATCGGCCTTAACCGTTTTATTCAGAATTTTACGACAAACTAACGCGGTACTCAAAAATTATTGGGTGAAAACGGGAGAGTTTATTTTTGAAAATTTAACGGGATCTCGATGCGGGACTGCGTATTTTAGCAGCAATCGCTATCAAAAGCCCGGGTGGATTGAAAGATACTTTTCAGGCAGTTCAGTGCACACCTGCACGGCGCATGGTGCTGCATAGCATGGATTTGGCGCAGTGTGAAAATAGTGCCAACTTGAGTCGATACAGTACCTTGGCCAGTTTACGGATGATATTGACATGGGAGGAGTGGATACTGGATAGTATGTACTCATCCGTTTATCTTACTGTTTACCTGAACGCCTTCTCCTACGTCACTGCTGATGTTGTTATCTAATCCTATTTCCCGTGTTTGAATTGCTGTTCTCTAAATCCTCTCGACGCGTATGATGCTGTGTTTCTAGAATATAAATTCTCTTGTTCTTCCTAATATCGGCATCAATCTCGTGGCTACTGATCTTGAGACTCTTCTTATTTCTAACTTCCAAGTCTGAGGAATGCGTTGTGAACTGGATTATAGGGACAGCATGTTCTAAAGGTTATCTTCATGTTCATGATCCAAGTCTGATCTTAGCATAGGATACCGCAGTATGCTCGTGTCAGAGCCGACCCTCGCCCTTGCCTAATCCTCGCATTAACCGATACCGAAAGTAAGGTGTTCTTCGTGTGTTCGTGTATTTCGTAGGGATTCCTGGTTTCAGTGTTCCTGTTTGTATCTCCGTCGTTTCTCAAAGTTGTTTCGCTATACCAGTTTGAGAGAGAAGAGTGCTCATACCGCAAAGCTAAGCAGGGAAGTGGTTATAAGCACCGTAACTCTTGTAATACGACAATATTGAAGTAATCATAATTCCTATGACAGTCAAACAGGTGAAGTTCTAGGGCATCGAAGCACCCGTACAAGATTACTATGTTTTAATATAAAATTTGAGGCAGAAGACGTACTATGAAAAATTCATAAAAGCCGTAATACAGATATCGAGAAGAGTATTTAAGCACGGTCTATTATGAACTCGAATTTTAATGAAAGATTCTCTAAAGGCACGTAAACCGTACAGTTGTTCAAGGATTCTCTGTTAAAGGTCATTAACTGCGAACTCAACGGTAAAGCCTCCAGGTAAAGGTCACATTGGTCCTACACGGTCATTTTCATTTTTCCGTCACTGTACGCTGGCGGTGGTCCGTTACACTCCTTCGAACGCGCCAGCAGCTTGTGCTCTTCCTTGGAGGCCTTGCGATCATCCGCGTTCCGCCCAGCCGCCTCCAGCTCCTCTCGGACGGATTTACTTTGTCGAATAATGAAGACCACGACGATGACAGCGGCGATCTGTATCAGAACCGCTGCCAGCATAACCATCTGTCCGGTGAGGTCCGCCTGGAATGCTTGCTGAACGGCTGCCCACGCTTCCAGTTTGGGTTTGGGTGTAGTGTCAGGTTTGGGAAACAAGGCGTCCAGTTTGGCCGACAAGAGGAGGTGGTTAGCGGCCAACCCGACCTCGCAGAACCACGCAAGAACCAGGGCCAGCAGGCACGTGCCGCTGCCCATAAGAGCCAAACGCTGGCACAATCCGAACTGCCACGCGGGAATGTTGCGGACACCTTCACCGAAGAAGCCGGAATTTCTCCGGCCACGCAATAGTCGCACACTGGCCAGCATAAACCGGGCACCGCATACCAGCGGTAGTCCGTACAACGGGATGGAAACGATGAAGATCAGCGTCTGGCCAATCGGAATACTCTCTCCCGCTGATACGATCCCTGCAAACAGAAAATTCTACAGCATGATAAAATAAGCTTTCGAAGAGAAAATCAATTTATTGTGATGCATGTTTTGAGATAAAATTTTAATAATGGGAAAACTCATCTCAGGAACGTGTGGTCAACGAAATTTTCGCAACGAACGAATATCAGTACCGGTTCAGTAAATGTTCATCTCTACCAATTTTTTTTTCACAAATACAATCTCTGCGTTCTTGAGTTTCCCTACTAACATTTGTTTTTCACGAGCTCAGATATTATTCTATGCTATTGTAGACCAGCCAAGCTCCTGAATGTTTTAGCAATGCGAAGCTATCGATTGGGACGACAACATCGGAAACTGTAGTCGGTCTCCAACATTATACAGAAAGTAACTGTTATTTTTGAAATTGCAGCCGGCTATTCCGTGAATGCAAGGTAATAGATACATTCAGTGACACGGTAATACGGTCGCGATCTATTTATATCGAATGGGGTACGTAAACAGCAGCAAGGACACACTTAACATGTACGGTAGTATGCACTATGCAGTTAAGTGTGACTATGACTATCTAGTATCTGGTCATGTTTTATAGAGCAACAGGCACTGCCGTCGATGAAAGCTGAGACCGGTACGGCATGTGATCGATGAGCACATGTAGAGTAGTACCCGGGTTTACATGCAAATGATGTCATGGGGGCTTAGGTATGTACCTAATATTGGTCCTCATACTCTTAATGAATAATCCTACTCTTAATTCAGAATTCATACTCATATTAGCTCTCATAATCATTACCATACTTTGGACCAACCGGTCATGATACTTTTGTTCATAATCATAACTCATACCTTTGCCACTACTCATAACAGTGCGCTCATGTGCATTATATTATAAGTAAAGGCATTATACTGTTTGGTAAATACTGTATTATTATTAAGTAGTAATAGCCCATGCTAATTCTACGGCATCCTCGGTTGCATCCTCGCCGAGCTTTGCGCCCTCGACGACAAATGAATTACGCTAAACTGCATATATACGAAAGGCTGAACCGTACGCGCAAATTAAATGCGATTTATTCTACTTGAACCGAGGGAAATTTAACTTTTGTTAATTTTCGCTTGTTACTTCGTTTACATGATAATGCTTAATGATTGAGAATTTTTGTTCTTACTGACACTGACAAAGTTTGTTATCGTTATTATATCGAGTACTGTCACTTGTATTTGTTAATCTTCCACCTGTTGTACCACGCTATTCAATCCAAGTTCACGGAAGTCATTTTGCATAGTGAAGTCATTTTCTGATAAAGTGATTTTCCGCTTCAAATTCAGATGAAATAATCTTTGACGAGTGGACGGATGAGTTGACTGACGTGGTTTCGACCGAATATAACATTTTCGACACACCCATATGACTGTATGAGTAATGGCAAAGGTATAACTTATAATTATGAACATAAGTATGATGACCAGTAGGACCACAGTATGGTAATGATTGTGAGAGCCTATATGAGTATGAATTCTGAATTAGGAGTAGGATTATGAGTATGAGAACCGTTATGAGTATTAGGTAACTACCTAGCCTGTCATGGGAAATTAGAATAGTGCCAGCTGTTAGTCATATCTTTTGCGCTCTGTCACCCTCGTCCGAAACTTTATAATTATCTCTTTTGCAGAGTTAAAAAACATGCGGAAAAGTAATAAGCAACGATTGGGTGGATGCTTCATGGTAGAAAAAAGCTTAACGGAAATGGAAATTTAAGCCGCAAAACAGCGAATAGAAAATATAAAAAACTATTAGAGTAAACTTTATCATAAAATTAACTACAGCTGATTTTATACGTAAATTTACGGTTCTGTTCCAGTGCTGGATAACACATGCAGCATGCCGGAAATAAATGAGGGCATCCGATATTCCGCTTCTTACCGTAAAACAGGTTGTAGAAATTTGCCGCGAATCCCACAAGTGCCAAGAGAACTTCCGCAATGCTGAGTGCCAACACATTGCCAGTAGCCTTTGGAATCTTCAATAGTTTCTCCATCATTCCGTCGGATTAGCAGTCAGAAACTCGGGCGCTAGTTAGCCAAATACCGCTTATGTATAATGTTTGGTTAAAAAATAATAAGAGTAACTAGCTTTTTTTGGCGATACTGAATGAACACCGGAATAGTCAACTGGTTTCCCATCGTGGAGACTGAGATCGTACACCGCATGGCGCATGCGGTGATACTAATAAGCATTCTATCGATCGGCAGTCTAAGTACGAAGGCGGTACTTGGAAAACAAAGCACATACGTACAATGTACTCTGTATAACGTCTTCATGGTACGGCATTCTCGAATCATCGGGCCCAATCAAAGCAGTACAGCGGTGGATTCTTGCTCTACGATACCTCGGCTCTCGAGTGAGTCAGTGATTGGTAACCTGCACCGCACCTGTTGGGTTAGGTTTGTAAGCTTGAGAAACCGCGCGTAAAGCGGATCTCAGTCATAATACTCGTGCTACGGTAATGCTTTATAGGCCATGAATCTGTAAGTACAATAGTAATTTTGTAATTTCAACAAGCAATCAAAGGTAGTGCGTCACTGCGTACTAGGTACAGCCATCTACAAAATGCCTAATGTAAACCGAAGAATTTAATTGCTCAGTACTTTGCGTTTTAAAACTGCACCATAATAGGTTAATAATCTGATAACTGCACACACCGCATGCAATTTTATCCTGGTCGAACTTAACAGAAATATGGTTTTACTCGTTACCAGATTCGTTAAAGCAGGAATGATCAGTGTAGATATCAGAGTTAATTTTCTGATATGATTGGTACTGCTTTAAGGTTGCAACCATATAAAACTGCAGTATACTCGAATGACTCGATTATCATTCAGAATACTGTACTAGTACTGTGTTATACTCGTATTTTAGCACTGTATTTGGTGCTTAACCCGGGAACGCTCGGTATTCGCAGGAGTACGAGTTTCTGCTTGAAAACCGAGATTTGCCGAGGAAAAAGTGCAATTGAGAAAGATATTTTTTTTTGCCTATACTGACCATAGGTCACCAGCGGTGACCAGTGTGTCTGGTAACATTATTGAGCATTCGCAGTAATTAGCATAAAAGATATTAATTTTAACCTCTAGGGTAGTAATTATGCGAGCAGCAGTTAACGAATACCATGATGTTGCTAAGAATACTTACTTCCAAACAGGAGTATTGCATTGGTCAAGAAACTGACCCTTGTCAGAGAAAAACAAAAACATGGGGTTACAGTATGCACTGTATGCTGTACTTGAATAAACCTTATGAGTTCAAGAAAACGAAACAGAAAATGTACATACACACTACACACCAACAGCAGCCACGGCATGCGTGCATATGGTCTTGGATAATTTTTTGGCAACTGATGAATGTGATACTTATAACTCTGCATGCCAACTAAACCAATAAAAGTATGCGCACCTTCAAGAATGGCACATTAGGCAGCACCACAACACCCATCATCCAAGGACCACGGCGGCATTGCCACGCTCAGGAGACGGTCATTACTACCAGAAGCGGAAATGCGAGCTACCTCTTGATCCACAATGTCGGTCGCGAATCCGGTGGGATAGTGGTGTGTCGAACGTACTGTTAAACGGCCGGTAGTCGACGTACACGTGCCAGTCATAGCTGCGCGTCCACGAAATTTTCATTGAGCCCCTGCGCAAGTCCTCCATGACGTGCAGCGGGTCCGTCGACTGCACGCCGGTAGGCGTTTACAAGCATCACGCTATTTGGAAGTACAACGGCTGCTCCCTGGTGGCGCCCTACCGCTATCTGAAATAAATCGCCAAACTCACTAGAATCCCCGGTCTGGTCATCAATTTCCATCGCAATGTGTCGGTGCCCGGTAGCCCTGGTCCGTTGTGCGCGACTACGTTGACCATCACCGTAAGCGAAGCGACCAGTGCGCATTCGCGGCGCGGATGGAATGCTGGCTGCGGACCGGTCTCTGGCGGCACGCAGGCTACCACCTAGCATTCGTGCCGCCGCCGATCTGTCCGCCGGACGGCACGGACATCCAGTGGCTCTGTTCTCGTCCTGCCGATTCGGGTTGCGGTTTGCGTTGTTCAGTTGCCTGAAGATTATTGTGAGTGTGACTGCCTATACCTTTTGGTAGTGGTTGCACTTGCGAACCCCGACATATCCCATATTTCCGATGGATTGACCACATTCGCATGGACACGCTGGCTTATGCAGCCTGTGCTTAACATGGGACGTGACCTGTGTGGACACTGTCGCCGCATCCCACAATAAGGCCACTCCCGTTACCACCGGATCCACCGCCGCCCAGATCGAAGACCAGTAAACCAGGCTGTACGCGTACCTTGATGGCAGATACATTTTTGCCCCATTAGCATTAATTTTGAAACTCTCGCGGCCTGGAGAAAATAGGATGCTCTTTACTTTTAGTGAAGGACATCGGAAAGCGGCTACAGCACCACTCCGGCTGACCTCGCTCACTCGAATTTCTTCGGCAACGCCTACCTACAGAGTATGGAAATTCAACTGTGTAACGCGGCTTCCGTAATCGAAACCATGGCTGGAACGGAAAATTTAAAGGAATTTTACCGTTATGACTAACTCTGTTTTTGTTGCAGAATTTTATTAATGTGGTCGGCTTCTAAAATCATACGAAGGATGCTCGTACACTTGTTGTCCGAAATTCGAGGCACATTTCATTTTAATTATTGTAGCTTGCATGTGCGTTCGACTGCGTTGGCACGTGGTCATAATAATTTGAGCTGAAAATTTGTATTAAGTTTTCGCTAACCGAAATGCGGTACCACCAAGATTCACGATGAAACAACCGCATAAAGCGGTTTGCACGTTGCAGATAATACAATCATGTATTTACGAGTAATCTACCTTCAGCTTAGAACATGTGATGACCGTTGTTCAGTGGAACTTATGTTATTATTATTACTATTAGTGCAACTACAGTAGCCAAACTCCGTTAACGGAGACTTTAACATGCTACTGGAAAATTTTTGTTATTTGTGATAAGGAGGAGGAGGAAATCGTGGTTTAATGGAGAGAGGATGAAAATGTATCTCGGTGGAACCGCGGTTCTCATATTCGGCTAAAGGCATATCTTCTTCTGAATTTATTCCGTTCTACGCACCAATTCAGTTTTTTTAACAGCTGGTGTTCTGTCTCCCTCGAAGGCGTCGCTCCCCTCGAACGATGTGAAGATCACTGCCTATTCAGAACCTCTTTATCACCTTGTCGATTCTTTCCATGTCTCTATACTTTGACAATACACTTCAGACAAACCGTTTAGCATTATCGAATGATAAAGTTAAAAAAAGTTAATAAAATTAGTATGAAGCTTCTTGACGTCTATGACGTTTTGGATGCAGAAGAAAACGGACCCTGTATAAACACAAGATGGCGTCGGTTACGTCAAAAACTGGAGTTGGGAGTTGGACTTTCCAGTTGCAGTTCCCGGTTGTACTCTGTACTTCCAGCTCCCAACTGCAGCGTATGATTCAGCACAGCTACAGCATATGATTACTGCATATGTATACTGTATACTGTATAGAAATACACTACCTAATTTACACGCTTACTTTCCTACACAAGTTGTTTACATTCTTTTACCGCGTGGAGCGGCACTAGCACATTAGCGCAACATTAGCGCAGCGCTGATGCTGCAGACCATGCGCGTCTCTTAATTATTTTAAACACATGTAGCTGCTGTGCACTTATGATATACATAATTATTTTCAAACTTTCCCAGTAATTTAATTGCTTATCTGCAGTGTGAACTGCTTGAATATAATGGTGAAACTCGACATGCGCCAATCTGCTGTATGCATGCTACTGTACACTGTATAGTTATATTGTGTTTACTTTCACTGCTTTATTCAACAAGTTGTTGACATTCTTTCATACTGTGGAAGAGCACTTTAACGCATCTGGCGCGTCAAAGTCTTTCAACTTACAGTAAGTGAATTGCTTCTTACTGAATATCACTATTTGCTCTTTTCTCAACTTATTTATACTTACATATTCATGTAAACTTACAGGTACGATGGAATATTATTTTCTTTATTACTGTACATTATGACTGTACTATGTAATCAATGTTGACAGTTATTTCCAGCCTGATGGTCTATTGCGTGCATGCTTATGTGTGCGTGCAGATCAACTGGAAAAAGTCCGTCAGGGTCGCTGCAAATTTTTTTCCACTGGAGCCAAAGTCGCATTCCTGTTAACGATTACTCCGCTAATTGCAGAATTTATGAATTTCTTGTACACGAAGTAAGTGAAGCAAATGTTTTTAGTTTATATGGCGTTGTAACGCATGCTATATTTTTAATGTGTACATAGTTTCGGGGCTGCTATAAACAACAAGGGCTCGAGTCGAAAAAGTTGGCCTGAACTTCTCAATGAATTTTTCCACCTTGTCAACGGTATGGCGCAATTTGCTGATTTCGCAGTTTTTACATTACAGAAATTATTATTATATGCTTGTATGTTTGCTCAATGCTTTTATAACAAAAAATACATTGTTATTTGAACTCTAATTATCATAATTAATGAGCAATGTACTGTACAGTATTGCACTGTATATGTAGTATGTACCATGTACTTTTAAGGGTTAACGTTCTTTACATTTCTTACTAAATCAATCACCAGTGCTTTGTAATGCAAGGTAATAGAAATATGCAACGATAGATTTTTATAATTTTATTTATTTCTGTATTAAGTTCCCTAATAACAAGCGCAGTTCGGTTTCAGCAGTATGAAGAGTATCAGCATCTTTTGCACCTAATAAATTAATTTTTCCGGAATGGAAAATCATCGCCGTACAACCTCGAAGCCGGACCCGCATGGCCGGAAATAATTCAGGTTCAAACATGGCATCGACTTTTGCTCTTATTGAGATGTACAATTTTCCTAAACTAAGAAATCTCCCAAAATTAAAAGTGGCTACAATGTTAACAATTCGTGGATTCTTTACCGATGCTTTTTGATAGCCATATGTTTGCAGTTTCCGGCAATAATGATGCAATAACGCAAGAGCATCACTGATGGACTTTGCACCATTAACTGTGATCTTGCCGTTGCGGTACACTTGGCAGTGCGATTTCTGCGGACGAATGGAACGGAGAAGAAGCCCAGAATATTTGTGTGGTGCATAATGAGAAAGCGGAGCGCGCTCGTATAAGCTGGGTAAGCCAATTGCGCAGCCAAGGTCAGCAGTTGCAATAACGTTAGTTATCTTCGCCATTCAGCCAATTTGCAAACGTCTCCGCTTTCGAAAGCGTTGTTTGTGGTAATGAAGTAAGATCCTTGAACTTCGGGCACCCAATGTCTTCAAATAAACACTTCAGGCAAATAATTGTCCAAAATCTTTTGCTTTTCCAATCCTTTGGCGAAAAACGTCAAACGCGCAGGTCGTTCACCAATAAGCTCCAGCATATCCTGAATGGCACTAGCGATGTCTAAATATAAATAATCTCCACGATTATGCCAGACAAGTCCGTGCGAGTGACGCGATTGGCTCCTAAATTCAACGCGATAATGATTAAAGTGGGATGGAATGGTGAATGTGTAGCACCTGCTAACACTGGTTTGGCAATCACAAAATGCCAGCTGTTTTATAAGCCGTTGGGAGCCAGCAATAAATCAATCAATATCCAAGACAACCCTCCGCTTTGAATTCTCCATTCTGCTTCCGGTACGCTAGCAATAGCTCCGCCCTTTGGAAATGGAGTCCTTTAATAGGTACCCGCGCACGACAGCTGACTTGAGATTCCGATTACCCGCTTCAGTCCTGGTTGTGGGGCCAACGACTTCGGGGAAAACGACGTATGTGTCAAAATTAATTATGGAGCGCGATAAATTATTTGACCAACCATTTGGACGAATTATTTTGGTGTACGGAGAAATGCAACCAGCCTACGAAATGCTTCAGCGCCAAATCCCGGGGATTGAACTGACGAAAAATATTCAGCAAATTGTGGAGGATGAAAATTATTTTGATGGTAAACAAAATATTTTGTTGGTACTGGATGACGTGGCAAGCGGTTTGGTGAAAAATGAGCATTTATCTAAACTTTTCACTCAAAGAGTACACCATAAACGGCTTTGTGTATTTTTATTATTCAAAAACTTATACAAACAAGGGTCTGCTATGCGAGACGTTCATCTTAATGCGCAATATCTTATCCTGTTCAAAAATAATCGTGATGTGAACCAAATCAAGATTCTAGAAAGGCACACAGGTTTAAAACATCTCAGCGGGGCTTACGAGGAAATCGGCCAGGAACCATTTCAACCTCTCATTTTGGATATGAAACCGGACACACCTGCCTATTTAAGGATTCGTTCAACAATATTACCGGGAGAGTTGACAAAAATTTACATCAATCCACAAACGACAAACTTGCCCAAGAATGTGTGATCAGATTGTAAAAGACTTTGCTCCGTTTCTCCTTACCCTGCAATCGCTGAAACCCAAGCAGCGTCGTTTTCTTTTGGAAAATATTTCGAAACGACAACTTCGCTCTTTCGAAGAAATTTGTTTAAATTTGGTGAAGAATTCAGTGCCTCTGACCACCGATCAGCTAAAGGTGTGCCAACGTTGGCGTCGACCATTAAAGCTGATTGCCCTCAAAAAATATCCTTTACGAAGCAAGAGGGAAATTTTATTACAGCGCGGAGGATTCTTACCTGCGGTTCTACCTGTATTGGCAGCTGTTTTGGGAACTGCTCTACTAAAATGAAACCGGAAGTGCACTATATTGTTCCCGCGAACGAAATGAAAAAACTTACAAGTGACGCGGTTTGTCATATTGTAACGGATGTCCAATTACAACAGCAGCCTACTGAAGTTGTAGATATTGTAAAACTGGATGATTTGATGAGAGATATAATTTCACGGAATACGCTAAGCGAATGGGAGAAAGCGGAACTGTTATCAAGAAACTTGGCTCGCTTTTTGGCGTTGAAAGAGTCGGCGTTTGGCCCTGACCAAATGGTTATTCCGCCTCCAGCATCTGTGCCCCCAATTCCAGTACAACTATTAAAGAAGCCGTGGGTACTCCCTAATATGCCTGATCGTATGTTAGACGCTTTCCCTCCTATTCCACCTGCACCTCCGGCAAAACGCAAGCGCGCAAAGCGAGAAGTATTTGATGAGAACACTTTGCAAGTCGAAGGTCCCATCGGTTCAAGAACCAAATCCCAGTTCAACTGGATGACTATTAATAACAAATGAGTGGTGGATGCGTTCCCTTTTCTTTGTCTTTGGGTGAAGGTATGACATGGAACTGCACATCTAGCTGTTGCGATGGATCAAGCAGTAGCGACGACGAACACGATGACCAATCTACTGCTACGACAAGCGTACCTGAACCCTCAACACCCGGGCAGCTTAACGGGGATTCAGAAGTTTTGCAGCCACTTTCCACAAGCAACAAAATATCAACAAACGCGGGAACAGCTGGAACATCTGGATCCATATACAGTCCACAAATCTCGACGCAAAAAGTTCAAAAGAAACCCCGTAGTTGTCTCAAACCTACTGGAGCAATATCAAGCTGATCTGGCAGACATGTCAAAATATGCGAAGCAGAACAAAGGATACCGTTGGATATTGTTTGTGATCGACGTCTTCAGCAAGAAAGTAAGCTGTCAACTACTAAAGAATAAAAGCGGTCCAGAGGTAAAACTTGGATTGGAAAAGGTGCTTGCAGAACTCGGAACTCCAATTAAATTGCAAACGGACAAAGGTCTTGAATTTTATAATAAGGATGTTAAGAATTTTTGACGGCCCAAAAGGTTTTCTTGTTCTCTTCTGAAAATAAAGCAATCAAAGCATCCTTAGCTGAAAATGGCATACGCATCTCAAGAAACGTATATGGAAATTATTTCGACACCGACAATCTAAAGTGTACTGGGACGTTTTGAGCGATTTGGTAAACAGTTACAACAACGCAATCCATTCTTCGCATAAAGTCACGCCTAATGAGGTTAGCCAGTCCAATTCGCTGCAAATATTCAATCGACTATATGCAGAATTATTATTGGGAAAACAGAAAAAACCAAAGTACGGCGTGGGTGACACAGTACGAGTAGCCATCGACAAAGCACTTTTTGAATAAGGGTATGAGTCAACATTTAAGGACGAAATTTACAAGATACACCAAGTATTACCACAACAGCCAGAGCCGCTTTACGTATTACTGGATGAAGAAGGGGACTTAATTCGCGGGAAATATTACGAAGCCGAACTCAGTCGTGTCAGAAATGGCCCATAATAGCTTTTATGTCACGCTTCCATCTGATGCCTGTATGCAGCACTTCCCAAAGAATAATGCAGCTGAATGGACAACAAAGTTAAAGAGCGTGATATCCCTACCGGACAATGGGAAATGGCATTGGTGGAAATACAGTATCCTAATTCAATGTACAATTTACCCAGTCCACAAACACTGCACGTAGACCAAATTACTTCTATGGATAGCAACGGTGTTTTTGTTATGGAGCGGGACACAATTACAGTACCTGCAGGGATCTATGAGAAAAGTGATATCATTAATTTTATCAACGGTAAAGTACCAAGGTTAAAGCCATTTCGCGATTCTGCAGCGGAAGAGCAGGCTTTCAAACTAGAATTATTAGCAACCGAGCCCAAGCTCAAAGTAAAATTTCCCAGCGTACGTGTTTTTCTGGATTTTCCTCCCTCATCTTTGCATCTATCCCGTATGCTTGAATTTAAAGAACGACGATTTTTTGCTGCACAGTCTGAACAATATGAGAATTTTTTGATGGAAAAAACAAATTTTGCTTCCGCAGCTACAACACTGTCCGATCAGCTGAAAGCCTTGGGAGAGTTGCAGCTGTTGGAGACGTCTACAACAATGACAGCGGACAAGCCCGTAAATATGCACATTGGGAACCAATCAATTTTTGTCTACTGTAACAAGTGTGACTACAATATTGTGGGCGATGAAACTATGCAGCTTTTGCGCGCTTTCCCCATTAAAGCAAGTGTTCCTCGCTTCGAAATTGTTTCGGAAAGGTTCGAGGATCCACATTTTCTACCTGTTTTATACGATCGACTGGACACTATCGATATCAACATTGCAACTGATCTGGGAGAAGCGGCAATTTTTCAGACTGGAAAGTCAATGGTAAAACTACATTTCCGGCCCATTCAGTATTACTATCGCTAAAAAATGCCCGTAATACTCTTTGAGCCGTCACCATCGTTTTATTTGGATTTATTTTCTGGGGCCGCCGCCACTGGTGCTGGTAGCCAGCACGGCTATGGAGCCGTCATGACACGCTATCGCGGGAGTTTAATGCAAAATGGTAGTGGATTTATGCTACCCAGTTTTCTGCGCGCAATGTTTAGTAAATTAGCGCATTTTGCTGCCCCGGTTATTAAAGCAGCGGCACCACATGCTAGAACAGCAATGGAAGCAGCAAAGCCCCACTTACGCGACGCAGCGACAACAGTTCTTAGTGAGACATCCAAGAAAGTAGGAGAGAAAATTTCGGAATCTTTAACTGCGCAACCTCAACAGCAAGGAGGCATTAAACGGCTTAAACAGCAGCACAAGAAGACAAAGAAGATAAAGAAACCTTCCTTCCAACTTAAACGGCTTAAACGGATTCCCCCGAGAGAATTTGAGGACGCATTTTGAAATGGCTTTTATTTTGGAAGGAAGTGTACCAGCTATGCAGGTCGAGTCGGATTTATTCTCCGTTCCAGCCACTCTTGCGGATTTTGTGCGGACAGAAGAGGAACGCATTCTACCGACCTCAGGCCAAACAGAAGAAATCAGTTCTGGGGAAATTTCGTTTTACATTCCCCCATCGACGTCGGCGCTGCTAGTGCTACCCGAAATTACCCCAGAAATGGATATTGCAATCAAAAAGCAAATTGCAGGTCTTGGGCCGGCTACACGTATTGAAAACACTGATCTGGTAGCACCGGTCAACCTGATAGCGCATTCTATATTCAGTTCGGTAGAAGTGACAATGGCCAACCGCCTGATAACTAATTCGACCCCATTGTATGCCTACCGAGCTTACTTGGAAAATTTGTTGGGGTATACACCGGCTGCCCTAAAAAGCCAGGCAACAAGTGCTGGATTTTATTTAGACACTCCCGGAGAGCTGGAAGATCATGCCAATAACGCTGGGGAAG